ATTGTTCTTTAAAAACAGCTGAGAGTTTGAAAAACACGAAAACCACGTAAAAAAATATAGGGCTTTTTGTACTTTGTAACCCAAAAAATATCTTGATTTTTATTTTATACCTTAAAAGATTATTTTTCTCATATTACACCCTAAATATCATAAATTAGTTTCAATATGACCTTCCAACTAACATCCGTTTTAAATTTCGTTAAAAATAGATGCAACTACCATCCAATGATATAAGTAGTGAATTTATATTTTTATCCGAAAACAACACACGTGGGTGACAAAGTGTATCAATTTTTATTGGAATCTGAAATGAATATTAATTCGAAGGCCACATTAAAATTAATTTATGACATTCAGGGTGTAATGTGAGAAAAATAATTTTTTCGGTGCAAAATGGGAATCAACACATCTTTCAAGGTGCAGAGTGCAAAATTTCCTTTAACATAATAGTCTAATAAGAAAATAACTGATAAAATAACTAATCAATGCCTGACCAAAAAAAAACTAATCAATGTTAGTGTTCGAGCCAAACAAGCGCGTAAGTGGATAAAGTAAGCAGCAGGAATCTCGAATGGAATGGGAACACAGTTTCTGAGTTGTTTTCACGAAACTACGTTAAGAGTGGGAAGAATATATCATAAAATAAGCAGCAAGAATGGGAGTAGTTTCTGGGTTATTTCCATGAAAGTATCAGGGTTGGAAACAAATAAATGGTTAATTGCATTAAAAATCCCTAAAGTATAAAGTTTATTTCATTTTGATTCTCAATATTTTAATTATATCATTTTAGTTCTTAAAATATTGAATATGTTTCTATGTGGTCTCTCATATTTAGATATTACGTAACAAGTTTATAATAAAAAATTGTTGGCAATCTGTACATTGTTTGTTTATGGGACCATATAAAAATCTATTCAATATTTCAAGTATTAAAATGATGCAATTGAAAAATTAGGGACTAAAATAAAATAAACTCTATACTTTGGAGACCATTAATGTAATTAACCTTAAAATAAAATAAGCAACAGAATTGGGGAAGAGTTTCTTCTGAATTATTTCCACGAAAGTACGTAAGAATTTGAGAGGAACGCGAAAGGAAATAAAATAAGAAGACAGTAGGAATGGGGAAGTTGCCTCTAAGTTTCTGGGTTGCTTCCACGAAAGTATGTAGAGGATTTCAATCCTTTTTCTAAGAAACTGTTTGGGAAATAATGCAATCCATCATAGATCATGCTCTTTACAAAAGATTTCCAGGTCTTAAAACTGACCAAAAAAAAAAATGCCCAAAAACAAATTCGACACCAATTTATGTCTTTCTCTTAATCGCATAATCTCTCAAAACAACCGATACTCGAGAACTCCCTGGTCGAATTCGCGCAATCATTCTATGAAATTTGTGAATTCGCATTCTTACTTGCTTTTGTGTTTACTCATTATTACTAAAAATTTTATATGAAAATTATTGACTTATACATAAAGATACATATCAACGTAGATGATATTTGTATACCTATAATTGCAATTTCACAACCTTAAAATCAATATATATTTAAAATTTAAATGTTTTCCACATAGTTCTGCATGAAATTTAATTTTTTATATTTTATTTTTATTAACTTTTATGGGTGAATGTTTATTTTGATGCATATAATATGACCCTCTTAAATATTCTAAAATATTTTTGAATTTTACCCCTTTTGTGCTCCTACTCTATGTTATCTAGGTCCTACTAGCATGATACAACAAATTATCAGGTTTGTTTGATGTGCATTAAACTCAAGACCAATAGTTTTGAGAGCCTTGCGTTATCAAAACAAATTAAAATCTTGGATTAACAGTATTTTTAATCTCTAAAATATATATATTTTTTTTAGTTTGGTTCTTAAAGTATTAATTTTATTAATTTAGTTATTAAAATATTAAATTCGTGTCACTTTGGTCCCTAATAAGATAATTCGTTAAATTTTTTGATAGAACTGACTATGTGTCACTTTTTCATACGGTATCACGTAATCATTTCGTCAAAAATTTAACAACCTGTCTATATAGGGAACATTTTGACACAAATTGTATAATTTAGAAACCAAATTGATAAAATTAATACTTTAGAAATTAAACTGACAAAAATTAATAACTAAAAAATATGTGATCACCCGATTGTTTTGGACGGAATTTTGGTGAGAATAGTACACTTGGTAGGATAAGGTAGGTCAAGAAAAAATTCTTCTGCAAAATATCGGATAAAAAATATGAAATAGCATAATTCTTACCCATAGGGTAAGTTAAACACCCCTGACGTTTTGCCACTAAATTTCGACCCAAGGATCCATATAAATTTTGAATTAGAGAGCACAAAAACACAAAAACTAAAACTAAATGTATACCTCGTAATGGATTGTTAGGCATTTTGGTGGATAAGAAATTACTAAAGAGTTATTTTTATGCCTAAATAAAGACTAATGTTACATAGATTTAAAAATTAGACTTGATAATCTCAACCATTGAATAGGTAGTGGGTCCCAATAAATGCTGGGATCTACAGTGAAATCAATAGTTGAGATTATCAAGTCTATTTTTTAAATTCATGTAATATTGCTTCTAAATAAAATTATCCGTTTGGGTGAAATAACTCGTTAACTGAATGTATTGTTACAATCCTCACTATTTAAGACACAAGTCTGTGTACTAGATACACTATCCACACGACATTTTAACAAGTTTCTATAACAATGGTAAATGAGTTGATACATAAAGATGAAAAATAAATAGACGAGCATAACATGAACATGCTAAACAATCACAAATTGTGACAACAAAAGCTTAGCTATCCACAACTATAAATGTGTTGGACAAAAATTAAACAAAGTCGAAATGATCACAAGCTTCAACGACAGACTTACCTGTGATGATCACCCACTTAAGAAGAGTCCGTCATCAGGAACTTGGCCTCCAGAGTCCAGGCTGCAAGAAAACTATTTCCCCACCCACACAGTACGAACTCAGTTATATACTATTGCAAATGGGTCAAATATAAATTAAGTAAATTTTTACTGACTCAACCCTGACCATCACAACTTTTTTTTATTTTTATTTTTTTGCTGATTAAAAAAGTGGTGGGGGGGGAGAAGAAGGCCGTCCAACGACTACGCCGTTAGGTTCTCATCGGTGAGATCATAAGGTCCTAATCACACGCTTGAAATACTTCTTGAAACAAGATTTAATTAGGCTAGCATAGTAATTAACCATCAAACCCTAACGAGAACTCCAAAACTCGAACTCACTCGTAGAGTGAGGAATATGGCCGGTACTACTACTAACCTCCTCTTCGGTGGAAAAACGCTCCGACTTAAGAAGAGTCCATCTGCAGGAACTTGGAATCCAAGCTTCAAAAAGACCAAGTCCCCAACAACAATTCTGGGTATTGATATTCGAAGCCACTGGCTGGATCTCACAACATCTACCTAACAGAGATCACATTACAAACAAGCAGAAGGAGAATCACCGGATCTTTAAGAGCTCTTCTCAATGAAAAATTGTACAATGTCTTTGCAGGTTTGTCCTCTCGATAAAAAACTAGAACCAAAGCCTCCTCGTCGATAGTTGATGTCTATTATATCGCCATGGATTCCGTTTCTGGGTCAGTTTCTAGTGCTAAAACAATACCTTCAACCCCACCATGCTCACGAAGCCACTTCAGATCTTTCATATTCACAAGCTTGGTAATGTATGAAATAAATGTATCTCATTATTTTTATTGACTGAGAAAAAATTATAACCAAGGGCGTACAAACTCGGTTATATATCATCATAAATGGATCAAGTATAAATTAAGTAAATTTTTACACAACACAAGACGAGGTTGATGATCACAACCTTACCTGTAATGAGCACCCACTTAAGAAGAGGCCATCAGCAGGAACTTGGTCTCCAGTCCAGGCTGCAGAAAAACAAAGTCCCCAACAACAATTCTGGGTATTGATATTCGAAGCCACTGGCTGGTTCTCACAACATCAACCTGAGGGAAATGCCACTGGCTGGAACCAAAGACTCTTGTCTGTTCTAACTTCTATCGCCTTGGATTCCGTTTTCTTGGTCAGTTTCTAGAGCTGAAACTATCCCTTCAAACCCAATATACTCGCGAAGCTTGGTTATGCTTGATGGGTTGGGGAGAAGAGAACTGGCTTGTAGAATCACAAAGCGAGTCTTGGTCCCTTGGATTAACAATGCTGGGTATAAATAAAGATTAATGTTAGATGAACTTAAAAATTAGAGTTGATAATCTCAATTATTGAATAGATAATGAATTTTAATAAATATTAAGATTTACAGTAAAATTAATAATTATAATTATTAAATTTATTTTTTAACTTCATGCATTATTGTTCATAAATAAATCTTCACCGTGCAAGTATGTGGGTCCCTCCATAACACTACATGGAAATACGGTCCCCCACCGTAATAAAATAAACTCTGAATAATGTGAAACTTAATCTAGTCGAAAAGGCTGAGAAAGTTATAAAAAATAATTAAATATTAACATAATGTGAAAGGGCATACTATAATGGAGGCGTGGCTCCTCTGCTGTTGGAGGAAAACTGTACAGTGTACTGTACTACGGTTAGGATAAAACGACACCGTTTTAGTAAGATTTTCCTTTCCAACATACACGTGACACTTTTCCGTGCGCATATCCTCTGTACTTTTTCTAGGAATTACAATATAAACAAATCTAAAAGTAGAGTGCTGATTAGTGATTAGTACAAATTACAACGGACCTTTGCCTTTTTTCTATTTTTATTGCCAAAAGAGTCGTTACCCATTTGAAATTCTAAAAAAAGGCGTGATTTTACAGACTAACAATGTTACATAGATTTTATTTAATGATCTTATTTGGTTATCTTAAATTAATAGTGAATTCTACTATTGGCTAAAGTCAATTATCAATTCAATAGTTATGATCCATCATCTCATCAAATAAAATCACTAAATTAAGTATTTCCCTTTATATACTCTTTTAACATTTGCAATATTGGAGGAATTTTTGTGAGACTTAAATTGTGTTGAATTTAAAAGAATATATCCAAAAAGNATCTACAGTGAAATCAATAGTTGAGATTATCAAGTCTATTTTTTAAATTCATGTAATATTGCTTCTAAATAAAATTATCCGTTTGGGTGAAATAACTCGTTAACTGAATGTATTGTTACAATCCTCACTATTTAAGACACAAGTCTGTGTACTAGATACACTATCCACACGACATTTTAACAAGTTTCTATAACAATGGTAAATGAGTTGATACATAAAGATGAAAAATAAATAGACGAGCATAACATGAACATGCTAAACAATCACAAATTGTGACAACAAAAGCTTAGCTATCCACAACTATAAATGTGTTGGACAAAAATTAAACAAAGTCGAAATGATCACAAGCTTCAACGACAGACTTACCTGTGATGATCACCCACTTAAGAAGAGTCCGTCATCAGGAACTTGGCCTCCAGAGNGTGTACTGTACTACGGTTAGGATAAAACGACACCGTTTTAGTAAGATTTTCCTTTCCAACATACACGTGACACTTTTCCGTGCGCATATCCTCTGTANTGAATAAAGATTAATGTTAGATGAACTTAAAAATTAGAGTTGATAATCTCAATTATTGAATAGATAGTAAATTTTAATAAATATTAATATTTACAGTAAAATTAATAATTATAATTATTAAATTTATTTTTTAAGTTCATGCATTATTGTTCATAAATAAACCTTCACCGTGCAAGTATGCGGGTCCCTCCATAACACCACATGGAAATACGGTCCCCCACCGTAAAAAAATTAACTCTGAATAATGTGAAACTTAATCTAGTCGAAAAGGCTGAGAAAGTTATAAAAAATAATTAAATATTAACATAATGTGAAAGGGCATACTATAATGGAGGCGTGGCTCCTCTGCTGTTGGAGGAAAACTGTACAGCGTACTGTACTACTGTTAGGATAAAACGACACCGTTTTAATAAGATTTTCCTTTCCAACATACACGTGACACTTTTCCGTGCGCATATCCTCTGTACTTTTTCTAGGAATTACAATATAAACAAATCTAAAAGTAGAGTGCTGATTAGTGATTAGTACAAATTACAACGGACCTTTGCCTTTTTTCTATTTTTATTGCCAAAAGAGTCGTTACCCATTTGAAATTCTAAAAAAAGGCGTGATTTTACAGACTAACAATGTTACATAGATTTTATTTAATGATCTTATTTGGTTATCTTAAATTAATAGTGAATTCTACTATTGGCTAAAGTCAATTATCAATTCAATAGTTATGATCCATCATCTCATCAAATAAAATCACTAAATTAAGTATTTCCCTTTATATACTCTTTTAANGCGTACTGTACTACTGTTAGGATAAAACGACACCGTTTTAATAAGATTTTCCTTTCCAACATACACGTGACACTTTTCCGTGCGCATATCCTCTGTACTTTTTCTAGGAATTACAATATAAACAAATCTAAAAGTTGAGTGCTGATTAGTGATTAGTGATTAGTACAAATTACAACGGACCTTTGCCTTTTTTCTATTTTTATTGCCAAAAGAGTCGTTACCCATTTGAAATTATAAAAAAAGGCGTGAATTTTACAGACTAACAATGTTAAATAAATTTTATCTAGTGATCTTATTTGGTTATCTTAAATTAATAGTGAATTCTACTATTAGCTAAGATCAATTATCAATTTAATAGTTATGATCCATCATCTCATCAAATAAAATCACTAAATTAAGTATTTCCCTTTATATACTCTTTTAACATTTGCAATATTGGAGGAATTTTTGTGAGACTTAAATTGTGTTGAATTTAAAACAATATATCCAAAAAGATATCCTCTCTCAAAAATAGGTGATAACATTCACAAGAATAATGCTATTGAGACATAATGATTGTGTCTATTAGATTATCGATAGGTTTTAATATTAAATCCATTTCATTATCAATTCAATGATCACAATACATTAGGCTCATTTGGTANTTGAGTGCTGATTAGTGATTAGTGATTAGTACAAATTACAACGGACCTTTGCCTTTTTTCTATTTTTATTGCCAAAAGAGTCGTTACCCATTTGAAATTATAAAAAAAGGCGTGAATTTTACAGACTAACAATGTTAAATAAATTTTATCTAGTGATCTTATTTGGTTATCTTAAATTAATAGTGAATTCTACTATTAGCTAAGATCAATTATCAATTTAATAGTTATGATCCATCATCTCATCAAATAAAATCACTAAATTAAGTATTTCCCTTTATATACTCTTTTAACATTTGCAATATTGGAGGAATTTTTGTGAGACTTAAATTGTGTTGAATTTAAAACAATATATCCAAAAAGATATCCTCTCTCAAAAATAGGTGATAACATTCACAAGAACAATGCTATTGAGACATAATGATTGTGTCTATTAGATTATCGATAGGTTTTAAAATTAAATCCATTTCATTATCAATTCAATGATCACAATACATTAGGCTCATTTGGTAAAAGAATTATGAGTAGATTAAATATTGTATTGTACTATTATTAATTTAATCAGGTCTAATACTTTTTTTGGTAGACAAATTTAATTTCGTATTAATTTAAAAAATGCATATTAATCGTATATTTGTTGTATGATAGACCTATATTATGAAGACATTTTAATGTCATCAACGTAACAAATACTTGACGCACGTTGAAATTAACTGAGGATATTTTTGTTAATTCAATAATAATACAATAAAATAATTTTCTAACCAAATAACAGATTGAACTAAATAACTATTATTTAATGCTTATGTTATATATGTCAAACACTAGATAAAATTACGTATTATTCTAATATCTCATTTAATTTTGCCTTTTGTTCATCTGTATTATATTAGACTTGATTTTTTTTATCCAATTCATCCATTTCTAATACAACAACCAAACAAACCTACTATATCCCTAAGTTATATCTCAATAACATTTTAAAGTGGTGTTTGGATGAGCATAGAAGAATTGGATTGGATTGTATTTAAATCCGAACTCAATCCTATCTAATGCAAAGTGGTCCGAATTAGAGGATTATAATGTTCAGATTCAAATCATATCTCATCTTTGGATAGGTTTCATTAGGTTTGTAGGCCTCATTCACATGTGAAGATAAAACATACTAAAATAACTATTTCACCCTTGTGTAAAATAATATTATCTAATCATATACTATGTTTGTCATAGAATGAAAAAACGTTCAATTCATTAGTATTGTACTATTTACAAAAAAAAAATATGAATCAATAAAATATGCATTTTTACAAAATATTGCACTAAATATTTTGTTCATTTGTTAAATTTAATTTGTACAATACACCTTTACTCTCAAAAATCATATGCATCATGAAAAAAAAATTAATTTTCAACATAAAAACAATACACTTCGATACAACTCAAGCCTAAATCGTTATTTATTTATTTCTAAAAAATTCGAAGTTGTGTGTTTAAAAAATAAAACTTAATTGTTTTTTTCAATAAATAGAAAAATTTATCCGAATCATATTAAATAATTTCAATGACTGAAATGCTATTTATTTTTCATGAATTTTAGGACATTTTAATATAATTGCATGACTTACTAGCACAAATCATGTCAATTTAAAATATGTTGTTTTAATGCAAATTTTAATTTTTTTAGATTTCATGTATTATAAGGAAACAAATGGATGAACATAAACTTTTTAAGGTCTTACAAAATTTAAGAAGTAATGAGACGCAACACCAAAGAACAATTAACTTTTTTTAGTGACACTCAAACCCTTTTATTCAAAGTTAAGGTAGACCGAATATTTTGACACACATACTCTCAAATCATGTGCTTGCATGCTATATTCTGTCAATTGAAACATAATTTGTAACGGTAGCAATTTAGTACAAAAATTAATTAGGCTGATAAGGTACTTGAAAATAATAATATAATAAAAAAATAAATCCATAAAATAAATTGTACTTATTTTATGGAACAACATTCTGATTTAATATATTATNCATTTGTTCATCTGTATTATATTAGACTTGATTTTTTTATCTAATTCATTCATTTCTAATACAACAACCAAACAAACCTATTATATCCCTAAGTTATATCTCAATAACATTTTAAAGTGGTGTTTGGATGAGCATAGAAGAATTGGATTGGATTGTATTTAAATCCGAACTCAATCCTATCTAATGCAAAGTGGTCCGAATTAGAGGATTATAATGTTCAGATTCAAATCATATCTCATCTTTGGATAGGTTTCATTAGGTTTGTAGGCCTCANTATTTTTTAGAAAGAATGATTTTATTACTTTCGGTAAAAATTACAAGTAATAGGGATTAACTTCACCTCACCCTTACAAACAAATACGACAAAGAATCAACAAAAAAAATAGCATGAGAATCCTTCCCTCAAACCTCCTTCTACACCTCTTCTTCCAAACTTGCCAATAGACAATCAAAGGAACAACTCTAATTAANCGTTCACATGTGAAGATAAAACATACTAAAATAACTATTTCACCCTTGTATAAAATAATATTATCTAATCATATACTATGTTTGTCATAGAATGAAAAAACGTTCAATTCATTATTATTGTACTATTTACAAAAAAAAATATATGAATCAATAAAATATGCATTTTTACAAAATATTGCACTAAATATTTTGTTCANCATTCACATGTGAAGATAAAACATACTAAAATAACTATTTCACCCTTGTGTAAAATAATATTATCTAATCATATACTATGTTTGTCATAGAATGAAAAAACGTTCAATTCATTAGTATTGTACTATTTACAAAAAAAAAATATGAATCAATAAAATATGCATTTTTACAAAATATTGCACTAAATATTTTGTTCATTTGTTAAATTTAATTTGTACAATACACCTTTACTCTCAAAAATCATATGCATCATGAAAAAAAAAAATTAATTTTCAACACAAAAACAATACACTTCGATACAACTCAAGCCTAAATCGTTATTTATTTATTTCTAANATTAATTTTCAACATAAAAACAATACACTTCGATACAACTCAAGCCTAAATCGTTATTTATTTATTTCTAAAAAATTCGAAGTTGTGTGTTTAAAAAATAAAACTTAATTGTTTTTTTCAATAAATAGAAAAATTTATCCGAATCATATTAAATAATTTCAATGACTGAAATGCTATTTATTTTTCATGAATTTTAGGACATTTTAATATAATTGCATGACTTACTAGCACAAATCATGTCAATTTAAAATATGTTGTTTTAATGCAAATTTTAATTTTTTTAGATTTCATGTATTATAAGGAAACAAATGGATGAACATAAACTTTTTAAGGTCTTACAAAATTTAAGAAGTAATGAGACGCAACACCAAAGAACAATTAACTTTTTTTAGTGACACTCAAACCCTTTTATTCAAAGTTAAGGTAAACCGAATATTTTGACACACATACTCTCAAATCATGTGCTTGCATGCTATATTCTGTCAATTGAAACATAATTTGTAACGGTAGCAATTTAGTACAAAAATTAATTAGGCTGATAAGGTACTTGAAAATAATAATATAATAAAAAAATAAATCCATAAAATAAATTGTACTTATTTTATGGAACAACATTCTGATTTAATATATTATTATATATACTTATTAATAATGTGCTAATGTTTATTACCTTTTTTTTTTGAGCGTTGTGCAACACTAAATTCATCACAATATATTACTTTTTTATTTT